AGCACTGGTTCTCCTTATTCCTCCCTGTCAGCATTCTCACAATATTTGAATTGATGTTACCTCCCTATATAATGTCCCAGCCTTACACCTGGATGGGTTCTCTCCCTCAGGCCTGCGCAGTGCAGAAGCGGATTTTTTGCTGCTCCTGGAGGATTCAGGAATGAAGAAAATAATCCCATGAAGGGACTAAAAGTTTGCACTTTGCTTTTTTCTCCTTCATTTTCTTTTCATGGAAATATTGACGATGTTATTTGAGATATAATTAAGAGGTTACATGATAATGCCACCAGGGGTAGGAAATAGCTGAGTTAGTAAGCTTAGGTATTTTCCGGAGTTGAGCAAGAAGTACTGTTTTTTTTTAAGCACCTATCTTCAATGTGGAATTCCCAAGCCTGTGTTGGGATAATGTGGGTAATTCGAGACATATCATTTAGACAATTGCAACAGGCTTTTGAAGGAACTGGTGCCCTTGTAATATTTCCTGGAGCTAGAGCGTTCCTCACCTTGAGTCCATTGGAGACTAATTGATGATTAATCGCCACAGTCAGCAATACCTCCTTTATTGCTGCATCATATGACACACGGATATTAAAGGTGAACTACTTGGACCTTGGCCCTCTCTCATCCAGCAGTTCTTATCTTCCAGTTCTGCCTCTTAGTTAAACAGAACCCACTCCAATTCTCTGACTGACAACTATAAAGGGCAGGTTCACGAGTGAGGTAATAACCTGAGGGCCTCTTAGGTGGAGATAATATATTGCTATTCGGAAGTAAACCGAGGTAATGTTCCTGAATGATAGAATTCACCCTTTAGTCGCCATCACCACAGATTTATTAGCTTGTTTGTGGGATCTTGCTGTGTGCTGCCATGTTTCCTTTTGAAACAGAGAAATGAGAAATTTTGTTAATGCAGCAACTTATTACCATCTGGAATGCGGTGCCAGAAAGGGTGGTGGAAACAGATTTAATTGGGAATTTAAATTGAAAACATACAGTTGAAGAGGAAGGATTCACCTTCAATGACGAAGGAGCACGGCTGTGGGAGGAATTGGCTGGTTCTTCTGAAGAACCTAGACCAGGTCAGTGGGCAGAATGGCCTCCCTTTGTGTGATTCCGAGAATGAACAGAATCCTCAGGAGAACCAAATGGTGCCAACCTCGTGCTTGGCACGCATGCCTTTGGAGAGCCTTCTGATCGCACAATGTTATTCAAACATCTTGGCTGAGTCTATTTGGCTGTCAATAGCCTTTTTCAACCTGCTACATATGAATAAACAGGCGTTTATTCAATCAGGGTTATGGGGCAAAGGCAGAAAAATGGAGCTGAGAATCAGCCATGATCTCATTTGAATGGCCGAACAGACACATTGGGCTGAATGGCCTACTTATGCTGCTACATCACATATGGTCTAATGGTGCCAGATAAAGAAAACAAAATGTGTGCATGTTTGTAATTCAGAAAAATGGCAGTCGGTAGCCAGTTACAACAATCGGCAATGATTGATAAGAATGATGTACTTACCTGTTCTGTCTGCTATAGGAAAGATGTTGCCGAATTTGAAAGGGTGCAGAAAAGATTTACAAGATTTACGAGCTGCCAGAGGAAGTGGTGGAGGCGGGTACAATTACAACATTTAAAAGGCATTTGGACGTGAATAGGAAGGTTTAGAGGGATATGGGTAAAATGTTGGCAAATGGAACTAGATTAGTTTAGGATATCTGGTCAGCATGGACGAATTGGACCGAAGGGTCTGTTTCTATGCTGTGCTCTATGACCTGGTCCAGTTCCTGACATCCCTAACCCACCTCAGCTGCACCTTCCTTTAGTGGTTAGCATTGCTGGGGCCTCAGAGCTTCTGATCCTAGCAATGGACTGGTGGCACCAGTTGGTCTGCCAACCTTAATTGGACACAGGATTCATAGGTGATCGATTAGGAAGCTTCTTGGTACCGTCTGTGTCCACTTTAATCAAACCCCTGTTTGCTTGTCACTTGAATCAGAACGTAAGAAATTGGAGCTGTAGTGGATCATTTGCCCTTTCAATCCTGACCTGCCATTCAGTATGATCTTTGCCGATCTTCAGTTTCAATTTCATTTCTCCACGTCCTCCCTAGATCTCTTCATCCTCCGAGAAATCAAACATTTATGTGTTCCAGCCTTGAATATCTTCAACAAGGGTGGAGAATTCCAAAGGTTCTCTGAAGGAAAGTTTTTGTGAGATCCCAAGTGATTGGTCCCTTACCTGAGCCTGTGGACCCGACCCCACATGCGCACGCGCGCACACAGCCTCCGTGTCTACCCTCTCAAAGCCCCTCAGTTCTGGTTTGCTCACCTTGTTTATGTTCCTTCCCTTCCCTGTCAATTTATATGGCAGGTTTCCTTGCTCCCTCCTGTTAATCAGGAAGCACTTCCTCAGATGAAGGCTGGTAGAAATCTGGACCACTCCAACCCTGCCCTGTCGAGGTTGGGGGCTGGAGCGGGCTGCCCATTGAAAACTGAGTTTGGTAGATTTCTCTGAGGCAAAGTGAGGATTCGGGAACCAAACACTAAATGCACATAGGGACTATTCTAACCAGATAATGCAACACAACTGGGGGACTAAATGGCCTTATGAACATCCCACTGCAACAAAATATTGATGAAGCTCTGAAATAAAAAGAGAGACTGGTATTTACTTGGTGATGCTGCAAAGTGTTTACAGCCAACAAAGTGCTAGTGAAGTGTATTTTTGCCATTGTTGAAAACTGGCTGGTGATTTTGCACAGACAAGCAAGATCATCTGATATTTTTTTGTGTCTAGACTGAGTGTTAAATGTCGGTCAGAATACTGGGGTTAACATCCCTGATCATCCGTGAGAGCTTTCCGATTCACTTGATCAGTCAAAAGAAGCAAAAATAGACTCGGGCCTGAAACATCAGGGCTGGATGAAGATTATTATTATGGCTCAGTCTGTACAGTTTGTTGAGAAGTGAGTCTTGTTTCTCTCTGCATTTCCCCTCCCCCCTCCACCCCCCTCTCCACTATAATCCCAAAGTAATCCTCCTAACTGGAACAACAGAAAATGTGTTAAGGAGATCACTGCAAAGACTTTAATGAAGGATGTGTTTCCAAGTCAGAGACAAGGTGATTGGCACCCATCACACGAGCTGATTATCGACAGTCTACCTGGCTTAATAAAGGCCTTCTGTTTCTTTATTCTTTTTGTTCAACTTTGTTCCATGTGTCTGCAGTTCAGGGAGCACCCAAGACCGAGTCCCATCCCAAAAACTTGAGCCCTCTTGATGTAAAGGTGACAGAGGCCCATCTTTTTGGATCAGACGTTAAACCAAGGCCACGTCTCTCAGTCCGTTATAGACCACCTCGTGACATAACGGGGAGAATTTATATCCCCCCCCCCACCACCCCAAAGCCCCGTCACTTAAATCACAGGTTGGAATGTCGTTGCTGTTTGTGGCACAAAATGACAGTCTTATTTCCTACTTTTTGCAAATGTGACGGTGCTTCAGAAAGTACAGACTTGGCTAGAACGTGCTTGGTGGAAAAAAAAGGGGAAAAAAAAGGCAACCCTTGCATTTAGATGGCGCCTCCCGTGACCACAGGATGGTCTAAAGAACTTTGACTACACTTCAGAAGTCCCTATGCTAGTTGCATTGTTGTATTGTGGGAATGGCATAAAGCTTTGGGATTTGCTGAGGATCATGCATTTAATGTCATCTGCGGCCTGTACATGCAATCCCAGAGTGCTTGTAAATTTTATGAGTGAAGTATCTGTCTGATCTCTCTCTCTCTCTCTCTCTGATGTATAAAATCATATGTGAATGTTTGAGGCAAGGAGCTATAAAATACCCTCCTTTTGTCTTTCCTCTTACCTTTTCCAGAATCTCCGAGGACTTCTTCTGCCTCTTCTCTGAGCAGCCATGACAGGATGTCCACAGTCACCACTTCCACCAGCTCCATGTCGGTCAACACAGACTGCTCGGACAGCGAGCGCCCGGTGAGTGTCGCCTCCTCGGGCTCCCTGCCGGATTGGCGCGGTGCTGATGGGACCCCTCCCCCGGGCACCCATGCCCCAGATGCTGGGCTCCCGGCAGAGGAGTGTGTGCGGGTGGAGCTGGCACCTCCCCTCCGGGCGCTGAAGGCTGACCGGGTGTGCAACAACAACAACAACATCATTCCGGGTCGGAGGACCCCCGATGGCAGCTACCACCAGGTCCCCTTGTCTCCCATAGCGACCAGGGCCATGGCCCCCAACCCCAAGCTGTCGTACGTGGACAGGGTCGTCATGGAGATAATTGAGACTGAGCGGATGTATGTGCAGGATCTGCGAAGCATCATTGAGGTGAGTGTGTGTGATGGTCTTTCACCATTTGTTTGGACAGAACTTGATGTCAATGAGGTTTGAACTTTATAAAAACAAATCAGGATTTAAAAAAAAACCAAAATGTATCAAGAAATGAGTTGTAAGTTAGCATTGGCACCTTATTTGGAAAGCAACAGTTTCTGGGCTATTGGGAAGAGTTAGGGCTGGTGCTGGTGAGACTAATTCTTCCAATGAACTGAGATGACATCATGGGCTGAATGGCCTCCACAGTGCTATAAGATACAAATGTGCCCCCATCTACCCAACACACAAACAGAAGGATCCCTCAAAGGATTCCAGTTCAAACATGCCGGTGTTCATTTCAGTCAGGCTGTTATGAAAGATGTCTTCACTTCAACTGGCATGATGTGTCTACCAAGCCATCGTTCTAACTCAGTATTCACACTCTCACCTCAGCATTGCAAAGTCTAGGGTTCAAGTCCTTTCAGTCCCCTCAGGTGGATATAAATAAATCAATGGCATTATTCTAAAAAAGAGGTGAGAAGATTTCCTTGGTGACCTGGCCAATTTTTGACCTTTGTTTGCAATCTTGTGCACTTGTTAAAATGAGCAGGAGTAGACAATTCATCCCATTGATTCTGCTCCACCATCCAATACGATCATGGCTAATCTTGGGTTTCCTCTCTGGCTGCTCCCATTGTTCCTCAGAAAGAGATCAACGATTTGGTCTATCTTAGCCTAAAATGTATTCAGCAATGGTGGATTCACAAACCTCTGGGTAGAGAATTCCCAAGGTACACAACTCTTTGAGTGAAGTAATTTCAACCACTCTCACACTCTAAATGATCTGTCCCTTATTCTGTGTTTTAAATTCCTCAACGGTGGAAACAATTTCTCCTCATCTACCTTACCAAGTCACATCAGAGCCATGTATCTTTTTCCACTGTAACAAACTTGTATCTATCCTTCTGGGAATATAGGAACTCTGATGCTTGCAACTTTCCTAACCCTAAAGTTTAAAGTATTATTTTGTTCTGAGGATTCCTGAGCTCAATCCTGGCCCAGGATGGAAAAAGAGCCATATGTTTGCTGAGGTATCCAATTTAAAATTGGTTTCTCTGTAAAATCAACATCTCAAATTTCTTCCTCCGGATCTGAACCACCAAGAAAGTTGAATTCTTGCTGCAGGTCTGTCAAGTCCTACAAGAGGAGTTGATCGTGTGGCTCTGTATTTGTTAAGAGGGACTCCTGCACACTCCTGTTGCTTTACCCCAGCCTTTCTCTTTGCACTTGTGACTCTCCATACAACTGTCTGAGTTGGGTTTCTGCTGGTGGCGTTCCCTTATGGCTTGGTACATGCCCTATTTCTAAGTGCGTTTGCCATTGGTGCAATTCCTAAGTGATTGATTGTATCTTCTACATCTCTAAGTATTTTCTTTTCTGTATTGCCTTACATTCCATGGGAGATTAGAATCATAGAGTTTTACACTGTTATGTCACTTTACACACCATCTACCATCTTATTGCCCACGCACTATCATCTGTCGATCTCTTTTTGCGGCCTCCTACTCTGCTTCAGCAAATCTAGACATACTACTGGCTGCCTCTATGTCTAGGTCATTAATACAGATTGTAAATAGCTGAATCTTGTAGCACTGCAATAGTCATAGTCTTCCAACCTGAAAATGCTGCGATCATGCCCATGTTTTGCCCCCTGTCTGTTAAGCAACTCTTTAATTATGCTAATATGTACCCACTAACTCCATGAGCTCTTAGCATGTGTGCTAACTTTTTGTGTGGGACCTTAATTGAATGCCTTTTGGAAATCTGGGTATACAACAGTAAAATCCTGGTGAGTCGAATCCCAAGGGATCTGTCCTCGAATTTGTTAGTTTGCTTTATAGTCATTCATGGGATGTGGGCAACACTGGCTAAGCCAGCATTTCTTTTCCATTCCTAATTGCCCTGGAGAAGGAACAGTGAGCTGTCTTCTTCAACCATTGCAGTATACGGACACCACAGTGCTGTTAGGAAGGGAATTCCAGGGTTTTGTCCCAGCAGTAACAAAGGAATGGTGATACATTTCTAAGTCAAGATGGTTTGTGACTTGGAGAACTTGTAGGTTATAGTGCTCCCATACATCTTTTGTTTCACGCTGGTCGAGGACATAGTTTGGAAGATGCTGCCAGAGGAGTGTTTGTGATTTACTGCAATGAATCTTGAAGATCATACACACTATGCCACTGTGCATCTTTGGTATAGGAATGAATGTTGAAGATGGTGATGGGTTGCCAATCGAGTGGGATCCTTTGTCCTGGATGCTCTCAAGCTTCTTGAGTGGTGTTGGAGACAAGTGGAATATTCCACCACACTGCTTGTAGATAATGAAACAGTATGTGAGTTACTCTCCACAGAATTACCAGCTCTTGAAGTCACTGTATTTATGTGGCTAGTCCAGTTCAATGTTTGGTTGATGGTAACTACAGGAAGTTGGTGGTGGGGGTTTTCGGTGATTGGGATGCCATTGAATGTCAAAGGGTAGTGGTTAGATTTCTGCTTAGTGGAGATGGTCATTTCCTGGTAATTGTATGGCAGCAAAATTACTTGTCACATGTCAGTCCAGGCCTAGATATTGTCCAGTTCTTGATATAAATGGACCTGAGTTGCCTCTTTATCTTAGGAGTTGAAAATAGTGTTGAAGGTTGTGAACTCTGTTTTTTTCCTGTATTCTGTCTCGTCGTTTGCAATGTGCCCTACACAGTGGTGTTTTTTGTGAACTTGTAGGTGGAGTTGGGACAGAATCTCCATCTCAGGATGGAGGCAAGATCATTGATAAAGCAGCTGAAGATGGCTGGGCCAAGGAGTCTACTCTGACCAACTCCAGCAGTGATGGTCTGAGTCCAAAAATCTCAACTATCTTTCCTTGTGCTGGGTATGACTCCAACTAGTGGAGAGCTTTCCCTGAAATTCCAACTGCACCAGTTTGCCACGGTTCTTCAGTGTCAAACCTGATCAAATACTGCCTTTCTGTCAAGGAAGCTTTGAGGCAGCTGAGGAGATACTGTGTAATCGAGTTTGTCAAAAAAAACTGTCAATGGAATCAGTGAACACGTGAAAAATGTCTGTTAATCAATTTGTTCACAACTTGCAATACTCTGACCTTGTAAAAGGCATTAAAAAATGTCTGCCAGGAATTAACTCGGAAATATTTATAATGACCTATGACAAGCTTTTACAAGTTCAGCTAATCCAGAGTTACCAGTATGGAATTTTGACTCATTTGTGGTCTAATTATTCTTTTGTTGGTGTGTGGGTGTGAGCCCCTGTAATGTGAGTTGATGCTGATTGGATTCTAGCGTCAGGTTCGTTCAAATGTTGTTTACAGTTGAGGCTGATGGCCTTAATATAGCTCATATCATGACCTAAGGATGGTCCTCGGCTCTTTACAGCCAATTAAGTATATTTGAAATAATCATCAGTCAAGTGCAGGATACCCTGTGCTAACCAATATATGCATAGGATGATTCCTTAAAAAGCTATAAAAGATAGCCAGATGATCTGACATGTTGGTTAAAGGATATGTATGAGTCAGGACCCAGAACTCTCTTGCATTTCTTCCAAACCCAGATTTGTTTGTGGGAAGATCTATTAAGAGCTTGTGGACAATACAGATCCAGTACTTTATGTTCCTGGAGCACTTTCTATGCACTGACTGCATGAAAAGACATGTGACACTACACTGTGACAGCCAAGAAGCATGGATGTAGTGTCTGTCACTTTAGGAGTGGCTTTGTATGGATTGTTTGAGGAGCTCCATATTTATTCATTTTCTGGATACGTGGAATTTTTTACAAGATGTCAATGAAAGGAGAGTTGAACATTTCCTTTCAACATTTCCTTTCTTGGAGTAGTGGGGCCAGAGAAAGTCTCTTCCATCTCGATTGCAACGGGATTAATACAGTACGAGAAAAGTACCAAATATGGACCTACGCATTCCGTTGTTGTGTCAATATAAACTTTGTGGAATACTCTGGTCACTGGCTCAAATTATACTCATTACTCCATCCCTGGTGATAGATCTGCAGCCAGCAATTCTTCACACCCTTATTTTGATTTAATTTATTATTATCACATGCTTTGTTTTGTGTGCAGTACAGGCAGATCATACCACACAAAATGCATTAGGGTAATAGAACAGAGCAAAGAATGCAATGTTATGGCTGCAGAGAAGGTGCGTTCAGAAGTCTAATAACATTGGGGAAGAAGCTGTTCTTGAATCTATTGGTCTGTGTGTTTATATTTTATGTATCTTCAGCCCAACAGAAGAGGTTGGAAGAAGTTATAACTGGGGTAAGTCTTTTTGATCATGTTGGCTGCCTTCCTGAGGCAGCAAGAAGTTTAGAGGGAGTCAGTGGGTGAAAGGTTGGCTTGCATGGTATGCTGGGCTATGTTCACAACTCTGTAGTTTCCTACGATCCTGGGCAGAGCAGTTGCCATACCAAGCCATGATGCATCTGCGTAGAATGCATTTTATGATGCATCTATAAAAATTAAGTGTCTTTGTGGACATGCCGAATTTCCTTTGCCTCTTGAGGAAGTAGAGGCATTGTTGTTTTCTTGACTCTAACATCAACATGGGTAGACCAGGACAGATTGTTGGTGATCATCGCTCCTAGGAACTTGATGCTTTTGACCATCTCCAACTCGGCTCCATTGATGTAGTCAGGGGCGTACTCTACACCTTGCTTCCTGAAGTCAATGACCAGCTCTTTCGTTTTGCTGATGTTGAGGGAGAGATTGTTAACTTTACACCACACCAACAAGCACTCTATTTCTTTCCTGTATTCTGTCTCGTCGTTGTTTGATACCCGACCTACAAAAGTGGTGTTGTCAGCGAATTTGTAGATGGAGTTAGGATGGAATTTGACCACACAATCTTGAGTGTATGGTGAGTATACTAAAGGTCTGAGCAGAGCTCCATAACTTTGTTTGATACAATCGAGGTTCTAACAGCGCCT